CAGATATTCCCACTACGACGACAAAGTTCCAACAAAATCTCATGTAATGTGTCGGAAATCACATTTTGAAAAGATAATGATCAACGATTTTTGTTTCGAGGAAGCGGTTTACAAGAATATAAATAAACAATTTTCGTATAGAGTCACACAATTATTACGTTCCCAAAACAATTATAAAAAATAGTCACAAATAATGCGAATAAATGGTTTTGTTCGTACATATTTTTATTGTAAATGTAGAATTATTTTATGTTCATCAAATTAATCATTTCAATTCATTATAGAGTAGGCATTTTTCAGGGTTATTTGTGACAGTTTTTCATCATTATAATTATGTAAATGTTCCACCATTTTAATGCAATTTTTGCGTTGTAAATTTTGGCTGGGTTGCTGGCGTAGAATTTTGTAGAGGAGATATTATCATTGAAGGTTCTTTAGCTGTTATTGTATTTGGTGATTGGATTGCTTGTTGTTTTATCTTATTATATCCTTCCACAGGAAGGAGTAAATTGAAAGAATTTTGTTTTATATAATACGTTTATTTATCATTTAGAATTGATGATGAATGAAGTGATCCTTTAAGAAGTAGAGCAGTAGCATCTCTTGATGGTACTGTTCTTCTTGGTATAATTGGTGGAGATTGCCTTTGAAGTGATGGTGTTGGTGGATCCTCTCGTCGTTGTCTTAGTTTTCGTTTCTGTCCTCGTGTTGGTTCAGGTAACAATTCATCAAAAATTTCAGCAAAATCAGTAAAATCTAATGGAGCTAGCGGATTTGCTACAGCAGTAGGCGATGGTCTAGCAATGTGTAAACAATTATTTTCTTCTATTATTGTTTCCAATGCTTCAACTATTTCTTATTTACTGCCGCTGTCATATAAGTTTTCACTCTTCTGCTTTCAACTTGAAATATTCTGTTTGGTAATGTATGTTGCTCAAAATGAAAGTATTCTCTTTTTTTTTTGTTTTCTAATTCGGTAGATGTGGATGTGAGTGTATGAGGAAGAGAACATTGACGTCCACACTCATACTATCCTACCAATTCATATCAGTCCTCAACACGTATGATGTCTTTGGAGAGTTTCCGTGGAAATTCAATTAAACACCGACGCAGGAGATATATGATATATAACGAGTGGTCGGAAAGTTTTGACACAAAATATTTGACTGTTTTTCGCGCAGTTAAATGCAATGGAAAGGAATGAGAAGTAGTGAGCCAGAGTCAGAATTTGATGCTCTTTCAGAATATCTAATCAGAATTTTTTCACGACTTTTGACTATTGAGCTAGAAGTAAATCTTTAAAAGACTCAAAAATTTCCTTTGGACGACAAAAACACAAATGAAATTTGTCTCAGGCGTTCTATAAAATTTTATTGCATATACTAAAAGATACAGAAATTAATTCTCTACAAAACGGTATATTTGAATCATCTTTCTTACAAATGCTTTAGGAGCAACAAAGGCTTCCTAAAAAATCTGTCACACTAAAAATCATAATTTTTTCGACTTTCGAATTTTCAGGCAAAATGATCCTTCATCATAAGTCTCCTATTTTTGAGCGGATTGATCTAAATACGCCATTCTTGCGCCATCTTGTAGAGGAAATATTCGACTACAATACTATGCATTTTAAGAGTTCCTTTGATGTCTTCAGGAAGTACGGTGAACCTCACAAAAGTAAGATTTTACCTGTCCAAAGAGAATTTTTGAGCCTTTTAAAGATTTAATTTTAGCTCAATAGCCCAAAGTCATAGGAAAATTCTGATTATATATTCTGAAAGAGCATCAAATTCTGATTCTGGCTCACTACTTCTTACTCATTCCCATTGCATTTAAATGCGCGAAAAACAGTCAAATATTTTGTGTCAGGAGTTTATAACTACCGGTTAGCGATATATGAGATATGGAGATATTGGAGATATAGAGATATAGGAGATACAGAGATATTGGAGATATAGAGATATTGGACATATTGATTAACTACGTAGTACAGATAATCTTTATATAATGCTTGACTTCGAATAGTGATCCATTCAGATATATTCATTTCAATTATCGATCCTTGCTCGAAAACATCAATCATAAATAATACATAACTGTTTACTATGTCTTCTACATCTCTGTATCTCTTATATCTCTATCTCCTATACACTCACGTTCCAAAAGTTCTCGAACTGATTTTATTTAAAAATAGCAAGAAGCGCTGTTGCGTTTTAATTCGTTATTGCCTGTAGTTCATAAAGTGCTCTATCCAATGGCATAAAAAGCTCTTATTGATTGAAGTCTTTGAGTACTTCAATCAGAAACTTTTTGTATCACATTAAAAGCATTGATAGACAATAGAATATTTGAGCATAGTTCAGTGAGAGGCTTTCTTGAATGCAAAAATCGGTCGCTATTCAATATTTAGAAACTTAGAATGATAGCTCATGGTACGAATGCTCCTGACGAATGCTATGTTGTTGGTCGAACGACACTTTAGTCGACAGACTTTTTGTCGAAGTAACTTTGTCGAAATTTTTTTGTAGAAAAGCATATCGTCGAAAGTGAATTATTTTCTTCTTATTTGTCTCACCGTCAGGAGACAAGTTCAAAATTATCTCCCAATTAACTTTGTTCCTTTGGCAACAATGGACGAATTTCAAGGCACTACTGAATAGAATTACATGCTTTTCGTCGAAAAGCACTTCAAGAAAAGGTTCGCAGCCTCAAGAGACAATTCTGTATCCTTCAATTCTTCTACAGAACTGTTCAGAGTTAAGAGGATAATGAATTTTCTCTCACACTCATGTTTGTAGTGTCGTTGCCCTCATCCTCCCATTTGGAGTGTTCTCCATAGCCAAGAAAACACTTTCGACGAAAAACAGATATCTATTTGAGTTAATGGAAGAAGTACTTTGTCGACAAAATGTTTTTCGACGAAGTGTCCTGTCGACGAAATGTTGTATCGACGAAGGGCCGTTCGATAAAATTCGTTTGACGAAATGCTTGTCGACACAGTGCCATGTCGATGAAAATTTTTCGACCAACAACATGATTACCCTCTTGACTATCATGAACTGTTACGAGAAGTTTATAGACATTGAATAGTGATCGATTTTCATATTCGAGAAGGACTGTCACTGAACTATGCTCAAATATTCTGTTGTCTATCAGTGCTTTTAATGTGACGCAAAAAGTTTTAGATTGAATCACTCGAAGACTTCAATCAATAAGAGTTTTTTATGCCATTGGATAGAGCACTTTATGAACTATAGGCAACAATGAATTGAAACACAACAGCGCTTCTTGCTGTTTTTAAATGAAATCAGTTCGAAAACTTTTTTAACGTAAATGTATCTCCAATATCTCCTCCGTCGGCGTGTAATTGAGTGTTCGCGAAAACTCTCCGAAGACATCTAATCCCGCAATACGAGTTCTACTAAGGATTATATTTTTTTTCATATATGAAGTAATTATTTCATCTTATTAATCCGTATAACTCTTCGAACCTAGTTCTGCTAAGTATTGTCATTTTTTCTTATATTAAATAGTTTTTACCATTAGTGCAACGAGATATTTTCTCATAGATCAATCTTAATCTTTCTCTTAAAAATTGTTTTTTTTTGTATTATTTATTAAATTTGCACCATTGCTCTCGTTCAAAGGATATTCTTCTTCACTCAGTTCCATTACCTCCACCTCGCATAAGATTTTGCGCGTTGCTGATATTCATTAACTGTTTTCAAAAAATGACCTTCCTTTTGTCGATTTCCATTTCTGTCATTTTTTCTTTTCTTGTTCTTTTTTATGCATTCCCTACGACCTACTACATACCGATACTCGCTTGACAAAGGCACAATTTCATAGGTCTTGTGTTATTCATACTTTTCTATCTAAATTTTTCTTTCATTGCTATCTCTCTTCTTTCTTCCTATTTTTTTTATCGTTCTTTTCTTAAAGCAAAAACCAAAAAAATAAATAAAATTATATTATTGTTTATATATTTACCCTTACTTAGTTCGTTATTACAAAATATATATATATTTTTCTACAAAAATAATGGCTTTAAAATTAGAAGTTGATGTCAACTTGTTCCGATAAAAGAACAAGGGAGTAGATGGAGAAAATGAAACAGTGAGAAAGATTTTCTCGGCGACATAAAGAATCTTTTCTCTTTTGCTTTCCTACTCGTTCTCGTCTCATCTTCACTGCCACTGCAGATTAATTTCAGATGACAGTTAATCACTCTAACTATTGTATAAACACTAAGGAAAGAATGCTAGCAGAGCAGACAGAAAAATCGGTATCGTGGACAACTGAAAATTGTTTTTGACATGCATTTCCCCTGAGAAAAGCTTGAATCTGGTCTGGAAACTCTTGAGGAAGCCACTAGCTAATTAGAAATGAGTAAACAAAGGATAAAACATCTACATCATACAAAAAGAGAAAAGCGCAGGCAACAAAATAATCATAAGAGAAGAACTAAGGGAATTAGCTGAAATCAGATTTTTTTGATTTTTTTAAAAGTTTTTTTAATTGATTTTTTGACTGAAATCTCATGATTTTAGTTAAATTCAATTTGAATTAACAGGTTACGATTGATAATGCTTGAATATTCACACAGTTTATTATCTTTTTTTTTGTCATAAACTAATGTTCATGGTAGAATTAAAGAGGGCTAAATGTAAGCTCAATAACTTGACAACGACAGCAGCTGGCGACCTGTGATTTTTAGCAATTGAAAGAGGAAAATACTGGCTGATACTTTTCTCTTCATATCATTATCCTTTTCAGCTGAAATTTTCGAATAATCAAGACCCCTGGTTAAGATCTCATAACTTGAATAATTCATAATTCCCACTAGAAGCATCGTGTGCGCAAACCAACTTCGAGTATATCACTTCTAGGTATGCCCTAGCTAACCATCATATCTTCAGTCGAAAAGATTTTTAGTACTTCGGATTGTTTGCTTATCCATTTTTATGTTGAGGTAGAAAAAGTATTAATGAAACTTAAGAACTATTTTGAGAAAAGAGAGTCATATTGATTGTATCTGAAGCTTTTTGCAACGACAGGGTAGCTTAAAGAAAATAAGAAGTAGGCATTTGTAATAAGCTCTTCATGTTCTATCAAACCGCAAATAAATCGATGAAAAATTCAATCAACTCCGAGTTTGCGCTCCGTGCAACGTAAATAAATAGATTTGGTAGGGATAAAACGATCAGACTTCGTCTTGTCGATAAAGAGCAAAAATATAATAAATTATAGTCTATAACAGACTTCAAGTCATGAATTTTTATTTATTTTTTACCTGTACATTTATATTCATTCTAGATAATAAGAAAGTAGGATAGATATATTATTATGAAGTTTAAATTGGTGATATTAAAAATAGTGTTGTTTATGTTTCTTCTTCCGAACTCTGATGCAGAGGGTCGAGGAGGAGGGAGAGGATTTCAGATAGGTATGAACACATTTGAATAGTGAAAACAATTGAAAAGTTTGTTTACTTAAAATATAGGATCCTTTGGTAGTTCTTCTTCAAGTTCTTCTAGTGGTTCGTCATCGAATGATCGAGCTGCAGGTTTATGGTTCCTTCTCATGATGCTCTGTTGTGGAGCTGGAATAGGCAGGAGAATTCATCGACGTTATATGAATAAAGAATACCCTAAACGTACTGAAGAACAAGTCAATTGTATTTGCACCAATTTATCAGAAATATCTCGTATGCAACAGCGTCATGAAAGGAATGTAAGAATAAAATAAAATTCTATTTTATTTTATTTTATGCGACTATGATATTTCGAAAATATTCATCATATTTGTATTTATTAAAGTAAAAATATCGTTTATTTTGTTTAGTTATCAAATATGACTGGGTATACAGTAGTGCATCTACCAATTGGATCCTTTCAGGAAGTATCTGAAAAACAGATCGAAAAAAATGAAACTGATCAACCTGAAGTTCAATCGTCTAACGATTTACAACAACCAAAAATTGAAGAAGAAAAATGCTCAATGATTGTGCCCGTCAAAGATTGTGAAACGCCACCATCACGTACAAACTGATATATTTATATATAACACATATTACTCTTAACATCATGGCAAATATATTTATTCTAAAAAAATGATTAATAAAAAGTAAAAACCCATTCATTCTTTATATAAGACATCGCGCCTGATGTATAATAAACTTATATACTTTTATCAATGAAGCGTTCAGTAATTGCATTCGTTTAAAACTTTTCACTTTCCAGTTGGTCAGTGGTCGGAAGATGATTTGACTTTGTAATGAGCATTTCTCAAATTTTCAACCAATCATTACCAGTCAAAATACGATCGTACTTTTTAATTAAAGTTAAAAAGCTTGTTAGCGCAGCTCTGTTGGGGCTGAAATGTGGAACTCATATATGTTCTCTAACTGAGATGCTGGTGTATGTGGGTGTGGGACTTCTTTATTCAAACACCAACACCCTCAAACCTCATATCCCAAAGAATTTCTTTCTAGTGTCAATCTATTCCGTTCTTAGAAATAATTTCATTTTCTTTAGATGCATGTTGAACGATTTTGGTTAATCAATAGATTTTTCTATCGAGTTGTGGCTTGAATATTTCTATTGATAGAATACACTAAATTTTGGCATTCTCAGCAGCTAACAAAAAGCGGAATAATTATATTTTTTTGACGAAGAATCTAATCGACATTGATGAATCACATTGTGAAAATCGCATCGAAATTGAATTCATATAAATGATAAATAAATATGAGAGTATTAATGAATTCAATGAGAGCGAAGTGAGTGAAAGACATTTGCCCTTGTAGATTGCCTAGGATTCGATTGAATACTTCATTGTCGCCGATGCTTATTGTCACAACAAACGTGTCTGTTGCATAGATGAGCCAAAAACGTTTTGTCATTCGTGCCAAAAAAAGGACTAATCTTCTAATGGTGAGTATTGAAGTTAAATGGCATTTTTCTTATTGACTGCATTGTGTTTTTTTAGTCACTCGAAAATCATGAAATTTCTAGAAAGATCTTGTGATAAAGAAAGAATGCTAAGGCAATCGAAAGAGATCATATTATCTATTCGAGTACTTCAATTAGAGGTGTATCATGGTTCTTTCTCGAAGACGACTTGTGTGTATTTGATAACATTTAGTCGATCATGAGATCAATATAAAATCAGAACAATAAACTTACTTATTCTTCGTCATAGCTGAGTATTAATTCATTCAGAAAATATATACAATCGAGTAGAAATCACAAATTCCAATCATCGAAAGCAAGCTTGTTGAAAATGTGAAACCAAGGTTCATTTGATACCACTAAATATACAAGAGACTATTTCGACTCTTTGAGTGATTTATCTGAAATTTGAAGTCTAGCAACTTCGATAACATACTATACAAGAAGCCCGCACTAGCTCTAATTTGCTAGGTTGCAGTGCTTGTTTTGTCACGCTAATCTGTGTCCGATGACTAGATGTACAATCTTTTTCTTTTGTCGTCCAACCATAGATTACAACATCTAGTGTTCAATGTTGTCGTATAAATCAATTGTTTCCATGCCGAAAAATGGCTAAATGGAAGTACAGTTCGAACAAGAACAAGTTGATGCGAGATTGAGAAAGTAGAACAAGATCAATGGATGAATTTAAATGAGAAACAAGAGAACTCTATTGTCGATTAAAAAAAAACCATCTGCGTGACCACAAGAAAAAAAACGTTGATGCTTAAAATACAGTAAACCCTGTTAGATCGTAAAGTAAAGCCAATGTCATATCGATCATAGTTCGTTCTAGGATCAAAAGCAACATACATGGAAAAGACTATTATGATCTGTGTGACAGAGTTCAAGAATACCATGATTTTCGGTAGGAGCAACTGAGAGAAGGAAGGGTCTATCTCTCTTCTCGCTATAAGCAGGTGTGGATGGGTGTGAGTTTGAATGAGATGTAAATTAATTAAGACGAACCCAGCATCCGCACCCACACACACCCTTCTTTTAGAGTGATTCATCATCGATGAAAATATATCGAGTTGCAAGATATCAACATACAAAATGTATAACAAGTAAAAAAATTGTTGTTTATTTTCTATTTTTATGTATTTTCCAAGGGGGAAACAGCAGAAACTACAGTCATGAAGTCCCATGAAGTCTTGAAAGTCTTCCGAAGTCTTCTGAAGTTTCTTGATGACTTATGAATTCTCATAAAGTCTCTGGAGTCTCTGAAGTCTCATAAAGTCTCCTGAAGTCTCATAAAGTCTTATGAAGTCTTATACAGTCTCATAAAGTCTCATGAAGTCTCATGGATTCTTCTGGAAGTTGTGAAATACATTTAGTGCATGGAAATTCATAAGAAACCAATGAAATTGTCTTGTTTTCGACGGTCTTATTTTAGCAGAAAGGCGAACTTTTTATTGTTTTTTTTCAATGTGCTGGAAGAAAATTCAAGTTTGTTGGATCTTAGAAAACATGATAGTTCATAACTGAATTCTTTTTGAATGAAGTGGTTTATTTTTATAAGAAATGATCCATCTATCAGGGTGTGGGTGTGGGTGGTGTGGGTGTGAGTGTGGGTGTAAGTGTGGGTGAGCATGGGTGTCGGTGTGGAGTGTGGGCGTTCCTTCGACTCATACCCACACTCCACACCCGCCCACACCCACATTCACATAACCTCACCCTCGCTCACACCCACACCCTCAAGAAAAACATACAAAAGCCGTATGTAGGTGGTAGAATATAAATGTATCTATTTAATATGCTGGAGATCTTTTCGAATTATTGAGTAGAAGTCAAGAAAAGATCATGATCTGAATAGAATTGAGATAAAACAAAATCAATTGAGCGAAGAAGATTGTTTGTTGAATCGTGGAGGCAATTTGTTAGGTTTTTCTAGATTAATGTTGATGATGATCAATGAAAATTGTAGGTGAATATTCGCAAACAAGCCACGAATATGTGCTTTGATATGGAGCTCGTAGCGAATAACAAGTTGATTCAAAATAAACTGAGAAGAGGGACGAAATGACAATGTAGTAGGAGTTCTACGAGGAACACGTATTTGAAAGGTTTTGTTAAAATATTTGTCTCAAAACTGCCGGATTTGTTCTAGATCTCGATTAAACATAGATATCTTTTCTACTTTTCCAGGAGATATTTTCCACTCTTGAATGAGAGTTACTGATATACGATGTATCAGCGTTTGATTCGGATTTCGAACTTTGACATTCAATGACAGCTTGTTTCCATCAACAACAACATTCTTCTGAAGAATGTTATGAAGATGAACACCTTTGCGAGTCTTCTCCTGTACTTCGAGTTGTGTCGCATTCACAGGTGATGATGAATGGTTGATAACAATGGGAAACGTTTTTTCAATATTGAATTTATACCATTCTGATCGAACAAGTCGAATGCGAAGGAAATAATGAATATATGTGCCAGAATTCTAAGCCTTTATGGTCGATGGTGGCAACGAATTGTGGAGATGAAAACTGAACGGCCAAATGTGATGGCCGGAGGCTAGGAGAAATTCACCCTGATCAGGGTTTGACTGTAGAGTGAGCTTTTTCTGAAAGAATAGTCTTCGATTCGTAATGTGTTTCACACTGACATAGACAATCTCAACAGCGAGTTCGGCTTCGATACTTTTCAGTTTTATTCCTCGATAATCAATATTAACAAATTTGACCGTGCCAGAAACGAATTCACCAGTCCAGAACACAGTCTTGCTTGGCTCAGTAAAACGACATATGATAATCTCTGATGATTCATTACTACTGGAATCTATTATTATGGACGCAATAAACAAATATTGGTAGAGAGTACGTCGGAATGAATAGATTATATTGAGATAAAAAGCAGAAGGCCACTATTGACTTATCGTTGTTCCTTACTTCTGTATATTAAACGAGTTACAAAATATCGAGTTTATTCTATCGATAGTCAAACAATCGATAAAGAAAAGGACAAAAATCGAAAATGGCGAAAAAGAAAAGAGCAATCAACGAAAATGTCGAAAATGTTATAATGTCAAAAGTTAATTGTTTAAGAATTACCCTTTTGATACAGTTGGGCTTAAACTGATTTTATTCGGAGATGAGTATATGTTTTCAATATATGATAATGTTGTGAAACAGATCGGCAAATTCATATAAGAAAATTTTCTTCATTTGCTCGAATACAATAGGTTCAGATCTTATATCAAAAATCGTGGTGCAGCATATTGATGCGACATTTGATTATTGACAGAATTTGAAAGAAAAAATGTTCATCGGTAAGACTATTTTATTCGTATTGATTTGATTACAATTATTGCTCATTTTTGTGATTTTGTGCAATAATGTCGGATGCATCGGCATATATTGACGAGAATATGATTATTATTTCTGAAATCCACGTATTATGTAGAAATAGGAAGAAGATCAAAATTTTATTCTTATGAAAGAAGTTCGCAAATATCACTTTTAGGAATGTCTAAAGTACTTTAATTTAAGCCAAACATGTTTGTAGAGTTTTTCAGCTTTCAGTAAGTATTTTAGGAAAGATATATTTGGATGGTTTTATACTAGAGCCGTTGTTCTTTCAAAAAAGAAAACTGAGCAAGATACCATAGAATGTTGTTACCATGTTATAGAGTAAACTGAATGAAAGGAAAACTTTTGTCCTACCCGATAAATCGAATGTGATGAAACTTATATGAACAAAATGAATAATGAACAATTGAGAAATATGTAAATAAAAGACATATAAAATATATTTTATTCTAAATTTAAATCTGCTTTTGTATACTATTATGACTGAGGTCATCTTAGAATTAAGATTTGTAGATATTTTGCATCTCTTCTTAACAATTGATAACATCGTTTCGATAAAAAAAAATCTTTTAACTTTTCCGAAGTTTTTTTTTTGATAATTTAGGTAGTAGTTATTCGTATCGAATTGATTTTGTCTGATGTAATATTACTATTCTCTTCTTGAATTGATAAAGAAACAATTCATAAAAAAATAATTTATTTCTTCAGAAATTGAGAAAACAAACAAGGACATTTTCGTTGTGTA